CCACATCATGAAATTCATGGCTCAATCGGCGCTCGAGTGCGCTTTTCCTTCCCTCGTAGCATGTCCGGCGGCAACAATATGCCAAGCTAAATGCTCGAGTGCTGTCCATAATCCATTAGAAAAAGTAGCAAATTATGATTTATTGCAGCTAAAATGGAGGAGCGTATGCAGGCGGTCGGCTAGGGGGCGTGGCCTGAAAGCCGCAAAGTGTGCGCTGCAAAGTATGCAGCAGCAGCAAAAGTCTTGAACAACAAACGCACTCACATTTTCTATGCGAGCTCTGAAATTAGCAAAAGCCAAACCGAGAGAGAGAGAGAGAGAAAAAAAGGCAAATCTGAATCTATTGAGCGGGTATAAGCGACTAGGCGATGCTTTGTTGCGAGTGAGTTAGGCACTGAGATTGATGTAAATATCTATAGATATCGATAATAATAAAGATATAGATAGAGATTTATATATAGGCATAGATATGGAAATGGAGGGGCTTATAGTTATCTAAGTCTATATATAATAATAGAAAGTTATGATATATTTATATAGACATATATTAGTCTATATAAAATTCAAAGGAATTAATAATGTAGATTCTACAGCTGTTATTCCAAGCCGAGTTCCAAGTTCTATTGTAACTTTTAAGCTATATATGCTAGGCTGGGAATATATATGTAGCTATATATGTCAAACTAAAATGCCTGAAACTGAGCCTATTGAAGTTCTAGAAAGTTATACAATATTTCCCTAGTCAAATTCTACATGGAACACAATGTCCACCTATCTTTGCTTATCTAATTGTACTTTATCCCATAATATATCTGCTTAGGAACAGTTTTTGTCAAACTATTAGTCTTATTCATACATAAATTCAATCTTAGGATATACATATATGGATATACATATATTCAACATACGTTTATGTTAATCAAACTGAGGTTTTTCAACTGTTTTTACTTTGATTTCGACTCGATCCCTAGAGGAAACTCTTGAAAATTGTTCAAAGATAAACATTTTTATATAGATTTAAAATACTATTTAAATATATATCCAAAGGTCTAAGCGGGGTCTGATGCATATCAAACTATGTCCCTCCATCTCTAACTCTCTAAGTCTCAACAGTCGAGTTGGCTATTTTGAGTAATCCCATAATCCAATTTGCATACCTATTTAACAATATCTTAACAGATCTTAAAAGAAGGTCATCGTCATTGTTAACTGCCAAGCTTGCGGACATAAATTCTAATTCGAATGTAGATATGTATATGCATAAATTCTCATGCGAAGCGTGACACAAAATCTTAAAGACTTTGCTCATTTCTATTTGCTGTTAAATATCTAATCTTCACCAATTATTTTGCCTCCAAACGAACATTCGCAACCTATATACCCCATTAACACACACTCCACACGCACACACACACACACACGCAGAGCGCATTGTAAAGTTTGGCTCGTAAAAAGAAAGAGTAGACTCGTATAACATCTAAATGTAAAAATCTTGTAACTTATTTATGGGCGTGCAACTTTTGTGAAATGTTTTGTTGTTGTTGTTGCGGCACAAAATTAAGTATACGCCGTATTTTGGCCGCCATTGCACATGGCCCCCAATTAATGCTCTATTTATGACAGAGAGCCCAACCCCAAACAAAACAAAACCAAAATAAAGAAGCATAAAACATTAAATACCAAAGGTCACACGAATGATGGCTCAATTATACGCATGAGTAATATGCGTGTATTACTACTACTTCTTCTTCTTCATCATCATCATCTCCATCTGCTTCTGTTTCGCCTATTTGGTCATGATTGTTGTGCATTAAGTTTTACGCCTAATGAGCAACAAATTGGGCCAAGTTTTTGGTCAAAACCCCGCACAATTGCGTTATGCAGCTCAAGCTGAAAATTTAAGCGGCTGCAATCATTCATTCTATCATTCGCCCAATACACACACACACATTCATTCACATGCTCATTGGCTTATTTACAGTTCTGGTCGAGCTAACCAAATGCCACTTTAGTTAATAACTTTGACCGCAATACCAAAGAGCAACAGCCATTCGCATATGCTTAGCACCAGAACCGAATTCCGAAAGCACTAACAAAAACTAAATAAACAGAAAATAAAAGCTGGAAATCATTTGAAATAAAAAAAATTCAAACTAAATCTCAAGAAACCAGTTCCATGTTAGATTCTTTGACAATAGGAATCGGAATTAGAACATAGTGTTAACTCGCAACCGTTAAATGGGTCATCAAAAAAAATGTTACCCATTGATAGAATTTCATCAAGAGCAAGACAAAGTTCTCTATCAAATATGTATTTAAACTACTTTTTTTTTGTGCACCGCTTGGAGAGTCGATCAAATATAGATAACAGAATTCTTGTCTATTTATAAAGTATTTTTAAACTAGATTTTTGAGATAGCTCTATATATTTGCATACTTTCAGCATAATATATTATATAATAAAAATGTTTATATAATAATTAATAATCTGAGCTATCAAAATGTTGGGATGAATGAGCTGCATTTGAATCTGAAAGCTTTTTAATGAGGTAGCGTATAGTCTAGACAGTTATATACATATATTTATTGCCATATGACTTTTAAGCTAATGAGACTGCAAAAATGATTTTAAATTAAGATTAAAAATCACTTTTAAAGTGTGTAGAGCATACTGAGCTAGACATAAATATTTCCAATTAGTAAAATAGATACAGAGTTGAAAAAAACTTGATTCTAGATTACACAATCCTGAGATTACCAAATCTAGAGCTTACCAAATCTAGAGCTTACCCAATCTTGCCGGATTAAGTAATTAATTTGTTAAAAATTAATTATGAATTATTAATTAATTAGTAATATTCATTAATATGATCTTTTGTATACCTCAACTTATTTGCCTATAAATTTCCCTTCAAATTTCTTATTATATACTCAACAAATTTGATCTCATTTCTTGGTCTTCATTCTGCTTTTTCCTAATTCCTCTACAAACCCCATTTAGAATTTACAATTTGATACGCCAAAGTATTCAGTTCACACCCAATTCTCCGTCTTAGTCATGCTCCACTGTACATTTACGTAGTCATTAACGTGGGTTACTTTTGCATATTTCGCACGATCTTTTTCCATTCCACATAAATTGAAAACTAACAACAAGAACGAAACTAATTAAAGGTGTGAAGAATGCAACGAGCAAATGAGCACGCACCACTTTTTGCCTCTTCCACATCGTCTTCTTCTTCTTTAGCACAGGTGTAGCTGTATACATACATATACCGTCATATTCATCTGTGTATCTGTGTGAAATTGAATGAGTCGACAGAAGAGCGAAAGGCGCACAATAAACCATAATGACAAAATTACTATATTTAGTATGCGAAAAATCGGTCAAAGTGTCAGTAGGTTGTCAGCAGGTGCCTTCATTAGCACCACGCACACACACTAACACGCACGCACACACTCGACTCCAGACTGCGCTTCAGATTTTGCTCTCACTTTAGCCAAATAACGTCTGCGACATTCGCATGATATTGCAGAAAAAAACACCAATTTTTTTTCTTCTTTGCTTTTTGGCATTAACTTCTTTTCACCTGAAGATCAGGTAGCAGCCGCCAGCATGAAAATCTGTTCAACACGATTTATGAGTTTATTCCCAATTTGCTGCTTCTTCTTCATCTTCTTCTACATGTTATTTATTTCTAGCCAGTCAACTTTCATTTTTGCTGCCATAGAATATCAATATATAGACAAATGCTTGATGGATTAGTGAAAAGAAGAAGCGTATCAATAGTTAATTGGCATGTGTGTGTGAGTGATTGCCTGCCTGCCTCTTCAAATGTGTATGTATGTGTGTGTGCGTGTGTGTGTGTGTCTGTTTTTATAGCACTTTATTTAGTCCGCTTTGTGCACTTGACTCGTCACACAACAGCCTCAACGCCTGCAGTTCAAGTGTTTTCTACTTGTTGTGTTGTCTAGTGTATTTTGACGCGCTTAGAAGTGTGTGCATGCGTCTGTGTGTGTATGGGTGCGTGTGTACGCGCTTCAGAGTGTCTGAAGTGCGGCAATTACTAGCCGCGCTATACAATGGTGCAAGAGCGAGATAGCATGCTGCCGTTGCTCTTGTCAATCAAATTTGTGCGGAGGCGACAAACTTAAGCACAAAATGCTGATCTACAGCCATGTTAAGCACAAAGCAAGCGTGTAGCACAGTGTAAATTAAGCGAAGCAACAATGCGAAACGGCAATAACAACAAACAGCTTGGAAGCTGTTGATTTTGATTCTTTCTTTTGTTTTTCCTTTTGAGTCTTTTCGTTAACGTTATAAAAATTGAAAGCTACGCATTCAGGTGACCCACATTTGGCAGCAGCAGCAGCCTCAGCCGCAGCCGCAGCAGCTGCTTGTTTGGCATGTTTCCCAAGTTCTTAGCTCCAAAAAATCTGTCGATGTTCGACCAAAGCAACAAGAACAACAATAACAGCTATAACAGCAGCATTAACAACAACAACAAAGCCCGCTACTGCTAAAGCAGGCAGAGAGTTTTTTTTTAACACCGTTTGTTGCTCTTTGATACTCTTTGATGCTCTTCTTTCAGAACTCTTCCCTTTTTGACATACACTAGTAGCAGGCATGTTGTACAGAAACACCATATGTAACGCATAGCAAACTTACACGAAATCATATAAAAAGATATGTATACACATATACATATATATATTGCTGACTATGTTTAAGCCAATAATGTAACAATTTAAATATTTATATACATATATTATAGTCTCTAACCCATAGCTATTTACAGGGTATTAAAAGTGCGACGCGTCAACTTTGAGAGTTAATTCTTGTTTTCTTTTTGGCATGCAATCAATCTCTTTCTCGCTCGCTCTCTCCCTTTTACCCTTGCCATTTGCTACTGTCCACGGCGTGCACAACTTCGTGAGCATTTCAATTCTTGTCCCCTCAACTCATATTTTTTTTCTTCTTTTTCTGGCATTTTTTCATTATTATTTTTTTTTTTTTTTTTCGTTTTATTTGCACGCTTACTCGGCTGGAATTTTAAATAATACATTTGACGCTTTCATTTTAGCTAAAACGCCGCGGGGCAAACGCAATTTTATTAACGCCTACCTCTTATACTCGTTCGTTTCCATTCCTATTTGTGCTGCTTTACGTTTTGTGTTTTGCTATTTTTTTTTCTCCCGGCGAAATGTCATCATTAACTTTTGGTCATTTTTCCATTGAACTTCAATTAGCAACGGCTGGCACTCACATTTTTCGCAAAAGGCTTTTCACTTTTTGCACACATTTATGAACTTTTTTTCTTGATTTTTGAAAGTGTCGCAATTAAAAAAGTAATTGGCATAAAAAAGGAAATTGAAGCAGGGCCGCGGGTTGCAGCTAATTTTTCGTATTTGTCGCGAATTTGCTTCACTTTTCACACACACTTTGCACTTTATTCTTTAATTCACACGTATTTAAATTTAATTTCTCATTTATTTAATTTTAGGCAGATGCCCGAATTATTAACGCAATGTTTGACACGCTAAACAACTAGTTGTAAACGGTAAGTAAAGATTAAAAAGAAATAAGAAGTGGGCGAAGGTGGCGACGAAGAGCGAGACCGAACAGCTGGAGTGAATTAGTATTCTAGCTATCATGCGAACTGGTCACACTGACTGATTAAGTTGGAGCGGCAGATCTGTGCCCTTTCGTCAAGCTTTAAATAGTTGCCTGGGCGAGAGTGAGAAAGCAGGCACGTGACGTCATTGATTTTATTTTATGCTGTTAATATTTGAATTTAATGAGCTGCAGTGAATATAGTGCAACTCATTAGCTAAATAAACTATACTAACTAAATAAATAATGGTTGATTGCAGCAAAATACATGAAATGGTTGACTATTAATATATACATATATGTATGTATATTTAATTGATTACTAAGTACTGTGTGCTTTCGCTCAAATAACTTACACATATGCACAAATGTACTTCTACATTTACAAATACGAATTTACATGTATGCATGTATGTGTATAAATGGATTTCTGAGTGCAGAGAGTAAGCAAAACAATTGTGCCTTCTCGCTCGAACGCTCGGCTTCAAATGATGTGCAGGCTCCATCGTTTGATTGATCGACTCTAAAAGGAACCCGAGCACGTATGAAGTTTGAGAAGGGCCTTCTATGTATGTGTGAGTTGTAAGTAGCTTGCTGTTGTGTGAGGGAGCGAGAAAGTAGATGAAGCTTAATTGTAGGCCGTAGCCGATTGCTGTTGTGAGCGAGAAAGTTGATGCAAATCAGGCTTAAGTACAAAGAGAGAGACAGAGAGAGCAAGAGTGGTAAAGCGAAAAAGGCAAACAAAATGCTGTGACGTCATGGAAGCAATTTTAATTCTTCGGAATGCAAATTAAAAAACTTAAATTCAACTCCAATTCATTAATTTGACAATTTTGCGAAATTTAAATATTTATTTCAGATAGTCAGTGCGCTTTAACTATTTTTAAATCTAAAATTCGCTTTTAAATGGAATCCAATTTTAAGCTGGGGTTTAGGTAATTGCCTGTATGTATGTGTGTATGGGTGTATGTATGTACAGCTGCACTAAATCTGGTTGCCAAAAAAAGAAACGGATTTTATTTCTATTTCCATTTTCGTTGCCAACTTATTTTTATTGAAATTTTGGCCCACAAAATTATTTGCAAAAAGAGGAAAAGAAGAAATAAAGGAATGAAAGCAATCGACAGGCCACGCCCCCACTCTGGCGAATAGGAATGCATATACATATAGAAATATATATATATATACATATATCTATGTATAGCAGCTGAAAATAAAAACTGTTGAACAATGCCAAAGGAAAAGAAAAAGAAAAACAAAATGCGAACATAATCAAACAATATTCGCTTTATTGAGCTTTTAAGCCGCTCAGCCGCTCAAAGTATCGAGTACTTTGTGCTCAGTATCGAATATACTAGCACTAAGTACGGCAGCAAGCAGTTGTAATTTGAATACCCTATAAACTAACGAATGTATATAGGGCATAATTGGCATCATTTTGATTAAAATATAAAAGACGTTTTGATGAAACTCATGGATATATCTAATACAAAAATCTCTAATAACATAAATATATCTTGTAATTTTTACAGAGTATTACATACCATATTATCCTTTTTTCAGTCAGAATTCCAATCAGAAAGACGCATTCCATTGTATTCATGAGTTTATAGAGTAGTGCTTAGCCTATCCGTACCACTGCTATCAGGAGTCCTATATAGTTGTTAATTTCCCTTTACATGGATGTGAGAGTTTCTCTGTAAGGGAGCCAAAACAAATAAAGCATATTAGATACATCTAATGCTTGTGTGTGTACACAGAACTTCTATAACATCCATACAAGTAAAGCTATGTATTTTCAAGTTCCGTATATCTGAATTCCAATTGGCGATTGTTGGCAAAGTGTTGGTAAACGCTTTCGGTCGAGAGGGCAAATTAGCAGCGTCGATTACGAAAATTGTCGATAAATGATTGCAGCTTTATTTGAGCGCCCAAATAGTACTTAAATGTAAATTACATGGAATATCAGCGATTTATGAAACAACACTTTTGGCAATATTCGCGGATTTTACAATTTCGGATTAGCGATTTATGAGAGGGTGAGAGATATATATGTTTTTTCTATTTTGTGCTGACTGCAAGCAACGGCTAATTCAACAAATCAGTGGCATTCCGTATGCATATTTGGGCCATATTCACATTGAGTGCAAAAATAACAGCAAAAAGTACGGGGGGAAAATGGGGCGAAAAAAATGTGGGAATATGGAATGGAATGGGCTTTCGTATAAATGGAAAGATTTACTAACGAACTGTTCGATTTTAGATTTGTGTTGATGGACAAACAGGATGAATAAAAATTTGCATGTTAGCGCAGAGAGATTAATTGCTCAACGGGCAGATACCCTGTAAATTTGGGGAAGTGGAACAAGTCTAAGAAAATGGATTGTAGGTGGAAATTATGGGGTAGAAAAGTTAAGAAAAGTTGATTCGGCAATAGGATACTCTGTATACAAGAAAAATAAATTGAATGAATATGAGTTAAAAAAAAGTATATTAATGGAATAAATCTTATCTGTATATTGAATATTTTTTAGTTTTTTTGGTTTGTAAATATTATTAATATTAAGGCTAAAAATACTTGACAGAACTGTTCTGGGGATAATCAAATATATGTGGAAAGGCTAAAAAAAAAAATCCATTAATATGAGAATTTATATAAGATAAACATCGCTCCTCTATCTTCCTCGGCTACTTTTATGCAATTACAGGGTATGCAAGGCACATAACTAACCATGCTTGACTGCCGTTAAGGCTGCGTGGGTGTGTGTTTGTGTGTGTGTGTGTTGTGTGCTGTTTTGGCTAATGAAGCTATTAGTGTTGGCCTTGTTATTGACCATTCATCGTTAAACTGAACTGTTTTTATTATTTTGGCATCTTCCTTTTATTTTTTTGCTTATGGAAAGCGTTCGACGGCGACGTCGACGACGGAAATTCCCATTTTCCGCAAGCCCCCGCTACAAAAATATTTTTTTTTTTTACTTGATTTACTCCATGCTGGGCCACAAAATACAAAAAGGCAACAGCAAAATGGCAAAAGTTGTTGTATATATATATACATACATATATATGAATGTGCATAAATATATTTGAATTTGTGTGCTGGCTCAAGAAATGAGAGGCGAGCATATTGGCTTCTGATATTTTGTATCCATTGGGGTTGATGCATTGAAAGTCTTTGTACAGGAATCGGTTAAGATTTATGTATATAGATCTACGAATCTATATTTATAGCTAGATTGGCCTCCCTATCTAGAGCAAGTTATTAAGGTATTATCATCAGAAAATATCAAACAATTCCTATAAATTAAAACCTTATTCAAGTCTCGAATAAGTATTCAGCAGTCGGGCATGCCCGTTCGAGCGATGCTTATTTTGTTTTTATGCTAACTGTAAAGTTAAGGGCAGTCGGACGATTTCTGTAGCATATCCGTTATGTGTTTCATTTTAATTTTCATGCTTTGTGTGAGAGAGACAGAGAGAGAGAGAGAGAGAGGGCGAGAATGAGGGAGCGAGACGGTTTAGCTTAAGTGCGAGTGAGAGAGCTAATGTAAAACGAATTCAAATGGAATGAAATAAAATGTTTTCGACTATTGGCGGAAGTGTGCCATAAGTTTATTTCTTGTGCGTGAGAGAGAGAGAGAGAGAGGGGGGGGAGGGGGAGGGGGAGAGGGAGAGAGAGTTTGGGTGTGTGTGCGTGCGTGCATGGCATTTAGTTTGCTGCGCATTTGGTTATATTTTGGCTTATTGGCTTTTAGGCGCCATAATGTAACGGAAATTGTTCAACTTTTTGCCAAAGATATAAATATATAATTCAAATGTCGCAAAAATGGGGACGACGCCGGCAACTGGTTGCTGCTCCTGCTGCTGCTGCCGCTCCTGCTCCTGCTACTGCTGCTGCTGCTGCTGCTGCTCCTGCTGCTGCTGCTGCTGCTACTGCTCCTGCTGCTGCTGCTGCTGCTGCTGCTCCCGGTTCAATTTAGTATTTCAACTTTGCTGCAAACAGTTTCGCCTCGGGCAAGAGCTTGGCCCAAACAAACATCTGGCTGGCAGAGAGAGAGAGAGAGAGAGAGCTCTGGCAGCTGCCAGCCATTAATATTTTTCAACTATTTGCATAAATTAATGTGCGCACAAAATGTTGCCCAAAATATGCCAGCAGCAACTTACCCAAATTGGGGGCGGTAGGGAGGTACACACACACACACGCACACACACACGCTCTGCACGCCCTGCGTGTGGGTCAGCTCTGTTTTGCAATTGCATTTCAGCCTGGGGCACATATTACTTTAGCTAAACTTTAGCCAACATATTTAAATACCGCCCGCACACCTGCTCTGACAGTGGGCGTGGCAGCGCTAATACGCAATTAGTTAGTGGCAACGCACGGCAAAAGGTGAAACGTTCATTGTGTCAGCTGCTATTTGGCTTTGCCTGATGATGGCCAGGTCTCTGTCTCTCTCTCTCTCTCTCTCTCTCTCTCTCTCTTTGCCCCTCTCTCTCTCTCTCTCTTTGCCTGTAGCTTAAATGCATCATACGTGCGGACTACAAAGTTTTTCGCCAGCATGCGAAGTGCATTGCATTCATAATTTAGCAGCAACAATTCTCTATTCCTCACTGCCTATCTCGCTTTTTCCACTCTCTCTCTCTCTCTCTCTTTCTCTCACACACATTGAATTAATATTATAAATCAGCTTACGATATTCGCGATTTAAAGCATTTTAGCAAACAAAAACCAATTATATTTATTGGGCATTTTTTTTGGCATTTAAATTACTAAAAAAAAAAAAAAAAATAAATAAATAAACACATGAATTAAAATAATTAAATATTTTCATTTTTGCAAGCATTTATTAATTTATTATTTTTTAGTTTTATCAAATAAATACCATTGCATATTTATAAAATAAAATACAATGATATATACTTTGAATTTATATTAATTATTATAATTTATAAATTTAAAAGATAT